ATCAAAATCATGTCACAAACATGAAAAAGATCCCTAATTTAAGACCTCTAACTTGGAAATCTCAAGCTCAAACTATCGGCCTATCCTCAATGGGACATTTTTCCCCACGAGTTTATTGGGCACTCACGTGTTAATTTCATTGACAAAAGAGAATTACCCGTTCTTTTGATCGGTTCTAGTCTTCTTCTGATCTCCTTTTTTTCTGTTCTGCCTCCTGCAAAGAAACAAAAATGATTCAATATTTTTCATTATATTACCTTGCAGCCTAAGATTTTACTTTACCTTAAGAAACAGAATGATGAAATAAAAAAATGCAAATGGAAATAGTAATATTGTGATTGAAGTCTGAAGATGAAATGCCCGATTTCGGGTTGCATTTGCATGTGTTTGAAGGTTAAATCGAGCTCAATTTCTTTGGTTTGGAAAAGAGTTTCTGAGCAACAATGGAAATTTCCCTGTCACGTTTCCATTAGTTTGGTCCAATGATTGATCTCCCACAGCACTTGACTTTCCTGCAAAATTCAATAACAGAAAACATTCAAACACAAAAAGGAAAAAAGACATCAATAGTCCTGCAATTTGATCTTCTCATAATCATTTTCAGGTAAAACTGCAAGTTATCATCCTTGACCGACTCTACCTTCTGCTTCAACAGAGTGTTGTTCTTCATGTTGCCTTGGGGAAATTTGTGTCTGATACTTCTCCTTTGCCCATGCAATGGCTTCAGCAATAGAAACGGCTTCATTAGTCCCTTCTCTGTACTCAGAATTCATCTCGATCACATAAGAACTCATGACTTCATCTTCCTCCTGTTCTGCCTCCTCTTCTTCCATTGTTCCGGGTCTTGTCTCTGGTTCTTCACAGAGTGAAGAGGCAGGGGAGACGACAGGAGATGCTAGAGAATTGAGTTCAAAATCATCCCTGGATAACTTGATGTTTCCATATGAATTGGGTTCTAACCTAATAGATTCAGGTGAGCAGGCGTGTCGCGAGAATTCGTAATAGGAGCTTCTGAAATTGTTGTCGTACTCATTTTCCGTGAACTGGTTGCAGGGGAAGGCCGGTATAGTCCCCTGTTTCCTTTGTTGTTGTTCATTGGAGTTCCATCTACAGGGGACATTGATTGGCCTACAGCAACAGAAATCAAATCTTTTTTTTAATTAATGCCTTCAATATTTCCAAAATTAACCATAAGAGTTTAGTCAAATTGATTTTCTTTTTTTTATTTAGTGTAACACTGTATTTGAGCCATTTTTCATGCATTTCAATTTAGAACATTAATTTTTTTAAGTATCACCTTAAAACTTAATTAATAACTTTAGTTTATAGAACCACACTTACTTAAAGGTGTATTATTTTATCAAAATAAAAATTTTTAAATAAACCCTTTTTAGTTTTTATGACCAATTTAAGGCTTTTACTTCAGAAATTCCAATTCAGCAAAGCTCTCTATGTTATTTTTGTTAAGATTTGGTAAAGTTAGAGTGCTATTGTACCTACTAATAAAATCTTAATTTGGATATATATTTTGTTAAGTTATGCCTACGAAATAAAAGACAAAAGTATAAACAGTTAGGCCGCTAAACAGCTAAGCTACCTGAGCTTTGAAGCAAAGGAGGACAGCGCCGCATCATCTCCGACCGGTGGCCGGAGAGGGCTCAGCTCCTCCGAACTCAGCACTGATGAAGAATTTGACTTTGACTTGGCCTTGGAGTTGGACCTTGACCTATCCCGCGATCTGCGGACGTCATCATCCGACCCAAAAATGTCACTGTAAAACCCCTCGTTCTTAGCCGGAATTCTGAAGGCCGGCAAGCTCTTGCCACCCTTCGAGGCGGGAGTGATAAACTCTGGCGGGCGGAAAACCTCCTCATAGAACGTTGCGGACCGCGTGAAGTCTCCTGAGAAATTCCGGGACAGCACGCTCCTTGGCGGCCCACCAAAGACGTCGGAGAAGTCATCGGCGCCCAGTGTCTCGGCAGCACAACCGCCAAAAAAGAGAGAGGCCTTCATGGGACCCATTGAAGTGTTGCTCTCCGTGGATTTCCGACGTGGGAGCGCTGGCATTCCCATCCGCATACGCCATGACTCGTCCATGGAGTTCTGTTTCTGGTTTCGCAACTTGGGAAAACAGAGTGTCCTATGATGTGTACTTAAATAATGCAAGTGTAAATACAATAAAGCAGCTTTTGAAAAGAAAGAAAAAAAGTTAGTTATCTTTTTTTTTTTTCATCATTATTTAAGTTTCAAAGAAAGAAGATGTGCTCAATATTTTGGAACAACTTTTCAGGCTTCCAGCTCTAGTAGTAGTATAAAAAATACAATTTTATGGGGAAAATTATTTTTTCATGTATTTTACATGCCCTTAAAATCTCCACTTGTAAAAATTATTTAATAATAACCCATGATAATTTAATAAAAATAGACTTCATGTCTTAGATAATCAATGACATGTGGATTTAAATGGAAAAATGTTGGTTTTTTTAAATATTTCAAATTTAAATTTTATGAATAAAGAAATAGACATCTGAAGAACTTCTTTCTTTATAAAATTTGATGTGATTTGATTTTAAATTAGTCGAAATTCGATGTGATTATACAAAAAAAAAAACCATGCCTTACATATGATATGATTATCATTAAATATTCTAATACTTTTAATGGTGGGACTAGGATATCCTAATTTTTCTTTTTTTGTTT